ATTAATAACATTTAATGTATTGTTACAATATTATTAAAAAGTTTAACTAATTAAAATAGTATAGTTTAAAGTTAGATAAAATAATTCACCACCGCTGACTATTCAAGTAAGTTTTTTTTAACCAAAGACTTTTTTCATGACTAATTATTTTACTTGCATAGTTAAAACTAATAATTACAGTAGATTTATTTTTGTGTATTTTGCTGAAAGTAGATAAAAGTATTTCTGTTTATATAATAGAATTCAATTTTCTTATCAGCAAAAAAATTAACATAACTTTGCAAACTTCTGGCCCCTTTGCCCCCCCCCCTTCACCTCCTATGGAAAATGCTAATATTTTCACACAAGGCATAATCAATATATTGATCTATAAATTAAAAATAGTAGTTGTAGCAATAAAAGAATTATGACAGAAATTGTTGGTATTACATAGTAAAACACTCGTGTTATGTTTATTTTTAAAATAGTGATTGAATAGTAATCAGAACGTTTTGAGGTCTAAGTAGCAAAAACTATAAAAATATAAACTAAAACTGCCGTAAATTTATCCATAGTTTGGTGTGGCTATATGCTACATATCAATCCATTTTTATTAAATAATAAAAAATGGTTCTCATTTTACAAGTGCTTCTATTGTCACACTATAGAGTCAAAATTCCACTTAATTTGAACATTCAAATTAAATTATTTTCCAAGGACAAAATTAAAAGATTTCAAAATTTACATCACAGGGTAACTTGATAGGTACGCCACACTATGCGTCGCGAAGCGGAAATTAGTTACTTTTTTGAAGAGAAAAAATCAATTTTAATATTTCAAACATTTTTAACTATAACAAGTTTCAAACAATATATATATATATATATATATATATATATATATATATATATATATATATATATATATATATATATATATATATACATACATATATATACATATATATATACATATATATATATATATATATATATATATATATATATATATATATATATATATATATATATATATATATATATATATATATATATTTTATTTGCATTCATTCCCAACAAGGCTGCAAGCAACCACTATTAAGTTGGGAGTTACAGGAAAAAAAAAAAGAACAGAGTTATAGAGCAAGGAAACGGTTGACAGAAGACTTGAAAAGTTGAAGGTTGTATGAGTCAGGAAAACATGAAGATGGGAGAGAGTTCCAAAGGATTGAAGTGAGGGGAAAAAAACTAGATGAATAAAAGTTTTTAGAGCATGCAGGGACAGATACAGTAAACGAATGAGACTTAGCTGAATGACGAGTAAAACGGGAATCAATTTTAGTTGATGGAACTAGAGATAATAACTTCTTTGAGCAGTGACCATGATAGTATTGTCAAGAAGAGAAAGTGAATCGTTAGAAGAACCATCCCAAATATGACAACAGTATTCCATACAGGGACGAATAAGAGATTTGTAGAGGTAGAGAATGGAATCAGAAGTAAGGAAATGGCGAGTATGATAAAGAGAAGCAACCTTAGCAGAAGCTAATTTAGCAATCGATTTTATATATGGTTTCCATAAAAGATCAGTAGTAAGCGATAATCCAAGAAGACGTAAAGAGGAGGACTCAGTAAGAGGATTGCCATTCATTAATATAGGAATGTTGACCATATTACGGAAGTTGTTTGCAGTAAACAACTGGGTTTTGTTAGAGTTGAAATTCACAAGCCACTGTGAACCCCAATCTATTACTTAAGTGAGATCGGATTCAAGATCAGCTGCTTGCTCTAGACAATTGAAAAGAGAAGACTTTTTGTCAAGACAGGAGTATAAAATTGAGTCATCAGCAAAAAGAGCTACTTTAGATGAAAGGTTGTCAGGAAGATCGTTTATGTAGATAAGAAACAAAACAGGGCCCAGGATGGAACCTTTGGGAGCCCCAGAAGTTACTGGAAATAAAGAAGAGTGTTGGTCTGCAAGGATGACTTTAATAAACCGGTTAGAAAGAAATGATTTGATAATCTCAAAAACTTCCCAGAAACACCATATGAAGCAAGCTTATGGAAAAGACCAGCATGCCAAACTTTGTCGAAAGCTTTAGACATGTCGAGAGCAATAGCCCTAGCCTCACCGCCTCCATCTAATGCACGATAGAATCTTTCAGTTATACAGTTAGCAAGTCGGCTGTTGAGCGAAAACCGTATTGATTGTCTGACAGTTTTTTGACTCAAGATGAGATGTGAGGAATTTGTTGATCAAAGACTCAAAGACCTTGCTAATAAAAGAAAGAAGACTGATCGGACGATAATTAGAGGGGTCAGAATTTTCTCCAGAGTTTTTGAATATTGGAACCACAGATGCCATTTTCCAACAAGCAGGAAAACAAGACTCAGTCAAACACTTGTTAAATAGTTTAGAGAGAATTGAAGAAAGTTCTGGAGAACAATTCTGCAAGACTGTGACAGGAATGTTGTCTGGACCACAAGCTGTAGACGAGTTTAATTGAGATATGACTTTAGCAACAGAAGCCGGAATGATTTGAATGTCTAACAAAGGGTCAACCTGTTTGACTGGAATGGAAGGAAGAGAATGTCCATAAGATTCAAGAGTGGAATTAGAAGAAAAGTTCTTTGCAAATAGTTCTGCCTTATCCTTGGGAGAGGTAATAAGATCAGTCCCATGAATGAGAGATGGGATGTTAGATCTACCCTTGTAAATAATGCTATTGAAGATTTTCCAAAAGTCTTTAGAGCCTAACTTCTGTGATAAAATGCAAAATTTAGTGAACTGAGAATAATGGAGTTTAGCATCAGAAAGCACCTTTTTACATCAATATCTTGCAATAATAAATAGGCGTTTGTTCTCAAAAGATTTATTCTTTTGAAAAAGATGAAAAAAAGATTACGATTGGATATAGCAGCCGCACAAGAAGGAGAAAACCATGGAGTAGAATGAGGCTTGACTTGAAACCGACGAAAAGGAATAAAAGCTTCCATTCCAGCCTAAATCCAGCAGGTTACGTAGGAGGCGCATTTATCAGCTAAGAGAGAAAAAACATCAGCCCAAGGACCATCACGAAAAAAATCTCAGTCAGCTTTAGGGTAGTAGTAGGTGGTGTGATGATAAGCTGAGCCCAAAAAAGAAGTACAAGAAGAAAGATTTATAGAGATCATTGCATGGTCAGAACCACCTAAGGGAGAAAAGGGAGAAACTGAACATAAGCTAGGGTCAGAGACAAGACATAAGTCAAGGAGTGAAGGTAAATGATTAGGTTTGTCAGGAAAACGAGTCACAAAGTTAACTATCTGAGAAAGAGATTGAGAAACGCAGAAGTTAAAGGCTTTAGTACCAGCAGGATCAGTGGTGTTGGAGCCAAGCCATTCAGTGTGATGGGCATTAAAATCACCAACAACAACAATATTGGCAGAGGGGTAAAGAAAGAGGGCATGGTCAATTTGATAAGAGATAAAATCTAAAAGAGTGCAATCATGGGAAGAAGATCGATAAAGAACAAAGAGAAAAGTGATAGAGTGAAGAGGTGCTAGGTGAAAGCACATAAAAGAATTGTCAAAGGATTCGAACTTGATTTCACAACAAATATGGGAATTAATGCGTATGTATACCCCTAAACCTAGCTTTAGGTAAACCTATATCATTCGTTTTAGATTTAAAGAACCATTTAAATAATATATGGAAAGAACTTTTTTAGTTTAAACCTCTTTTACTTAACAAACAGTTCACCTTATAACAAACAGTTCATGTTATAATAAACAGTTTACCTAAAAACAAACAGTTCCCCTTATAACAAACAGTTCACCTTATAACAAACAGTTCACCTTATAACAAAACCATTTTTTTTTTAAACATCTTTGCTTCCAACAATATAATTAGCATTTATAGAAAATAGAAAGAGAAGCAACATTACGACAATGTGATAATGGTTGAAGGTTGGCTGCAAGAACAGGTCTAACTATGTTTACAATACGTTTTTGCACCTTGTCTAAAAGAGAATGGGCATCATTAGAAGATCCGCCCCAGATATGGCAGCAATACTCCATACAAGGCCAGATTTGAGATTTATAGAGATAGAGAATAGAATCCAAAGTAAGAAAGTGTTGAGCTCGATAAAGAGATGCAACTTTAGCAGATTTTGCTAATTTTGCAACGGATTTGATATATGGTTTCTAAGAAAGATCAGAAGTAAGAGTCAATCCAACTTTAGCTAATTTTGCAACGGATTTGATATATGGTTTCTAAGAAAGATCAGAAGTAAGAGTCAATCCTAGAAGATGAAGGGTAGATTTAGACATGTCAAGAATGATAGCCTTCTCCAATGATAGCCTTCTCCACTTCTCTACCTTTATCTAATGCATGATAAAACATATAGGTCATTACTGTTAGCAAATCAGCCGTAATACGAGAAGATTGAAATCCATAATGATGATCAGAAAGTACGTTATTAGATTCAAGATGAGAGATAAAGTGTTTGTTAATTAAAGATTCAAAAACCTTGCTTATGTTAGGAAGAAGACTAATGGGACGGTAGTTAGACGAATCAGATCATTCTCCAGAATTTTTAAAAATAGGAATAACAGATGCTGCAAAAATTATGAGAACTATTGGCTTTTTTATATGACATCAACTTTAAAATCTTTTTCATGTAGGATTCCATAGGTGTCATTGAAACTTATATATATATACATATATATATATATATATATATATATATATATATATATATATATATATATATATATATATATATATATATATATATACATATATATATATATATATATATATATATATATATATATATATATATATATATATATATATATATATATATATATATATATATATATATATATATATATATATATATATATATATATATATATAACTTCTAAACTGTTGATATATCAACAACAATAACAAAAATTATAATTAAAAAAAAAAGTTACAGCTGTGACAGTGTTTCAAAGATTCATAGTTAAATTAAACATTTTATAGTTAAATACCTTTTTTACTTTTTTCCATTGTGTGAATATATTAGATCACAGCAAGTTATGTACAATTCAAGTAAAGATATTCTTGAAGAGGGCAAACTGAAGTATTTTCATCCTTTTAACCAGGAACCTGTAGTTTAACCATAAGTTTTAAAAGTAAACAATTAAATAACATTCAAGGGAGCATTTCTTTTTTTTTTTTTTTTAAACCTTTTTTTTTTTGAAATCATATTATTTATCTTAAGATCTTCAAAAAACAAAGTAAACTAAAGTAAAAATTAAATTAAAATATTTTAAAAAGTTAAATTTATAGGGTTTTAGTCATAAATTTGAATTCTTCAGAAAAATGTTCTGAAACAAATTTTCAACTTTATTTGTAAATTTCATTTCGTTTATATATTATAAAGTAACTATTATTACAAAACATAAAGCAAATTATGAGCCAATTTGCTAATTATGAGCCGATTTGCAAAAAAAAAAAATAGACTGGCACTAAGAGTCCAAAAAAGAATTGAGACAAATGATCAAAATCTATGAAATATTTTTTAAGGAAAATACAAACCTTCTTTAGATTATGGGGGTCATACTCATTGCAAACTTGAAAGGTCAATGGAATGCAACTGTTCAATTCCTTCATTTTTTCTTTCCTAAAAGTTTTTTATTTTTTTAAAGAATGAACAAAATGTGTGTGAGTATATATATATATATATATATATATATATATATATATATATATATATATATATATATATATATATATATATATATACATATATATATAAACCAACCCTCAGAATTAGGGTCGACATACGGCAATGTCGACATAACTGCCGATCTAGAAGTGTTTGACATCGACAAATTATTGCTGACCTCATTTTTCCTAATTTCAAGGGCTGATATATATATATATATATATATATATATATATATATTTAAATAAAATAAAATATATATATATATTATATATACAACTTTTAAATATATTTGTTGTCTCTAAAGTAATTTTTATGTTACAAAATTCAGTTGTCTTATGTGAGACTAATTACAATTCAACTGTTTCAACTTCAGATTTCATTGTTAACAGTTATTGTCTTTGATTACAAAGATACAAATATGCTTTGCATAGGTACTAAGACATCAATTCACCTATTGTAAACCTAAGTTTGAATTTTAAAACTATTTTTTATTTTGCTTCTATTTAGCACTTCTTCACATTGTACAATTTTTGCTCTCAAAATCACACTTTTTTTAATGCTACTTTTAATCTATCGATTAAACTTTTTTTTATCCATCAACCAATATTGTTGCTATTGGTCACATTAATACTCTTTATACTCTATTAACATTTGTGGCTCATAACTGCATTACTTTTTATTTATACTATTTGCAGTAGCTGTTGAACCCAAACAAAACTCAGTTGCCAACTGCTAATAATTATTCCAGTGTACAAGAACAAGTATTTACATCTTCTCAAACTGTCTCAAACTATTGTCCTTTCATGAAAACCATATATACGATCCATTACAGAGTAAGTGTCAGCTGAAGTTGCCTCTCTTTATTGCACTTGTCATTTTCATACTCCTGATTCCGTTCTCTAGCTCTTTAAATCTCTCTGGAATGCTATTGTCATATTTGGGCTGGTTCTTCTAATGATGCTTTTTCAAAATCTGAGTTTCAAAAATTAGTTAATGCCTGATTTTTTTTGCAAACTGTAATTGAAAAACTAATTTTGTAAATTAAAATAAAAACAAATGTTATAATGCCTTTTAAAATATTTATAATAATGTAAATATTTATATAACATATGATCAATTTGTATAATTATATAATGTATGATCAATTTGTCAAAATTAAATATGTATAAACAGATCATAAATCATGCAAATGGATGCCACCGACAATTAAAGTAAAAATCAAGTAAAAAACAACAACTTTGGTTTAAATGTAGAGCATGTGGTTTTAACAGTACAAAACTGTTGCAAGAGTACAAACAGAGTATATTATAAAGTATAATTTAAAAAGTTACATAAAAAATTTGGTAAATATTATCCAAAACTTTTGTATTCATATGTGAAGCAGATGAAAAATGACATGACGAGTATAATTTCTTTAAAAAAAGTAAACAGGCATATGATCACAGATAGCTGATATGTTAAATAATCATTTTAAAAATGTATTCACAAAAATATTAGGCTGATTTAGAAATCAAAACAGGAATGTTAAAAGTGCCTGGGAAATCAAGACAATATAAGACTGGTGAAAAATAATTTTTCACATCTTGATTTTTTGAAGACACTTTCTTATCCTCAAAAGAGTCATTTCTGCATCTTTAACAAAACATCTAATTAAAGATGGATATTAGATAATCTTCATCAAATTCAAATTCAGGGATTATATCTTCTTCATCGAATTCAAATTCGGAAATTATATCTACTTCATTGAATTCAAATTCAGATATTGCATATTTTTTATCAAATTCAAGCCAAAAGAGGTAAATGTTGTGAGATTTTTAGACCTATAACTTTATTAAAACTATTATGAAAATTTATATTCATTTTACTGATTTTAAAGTTTACTCATTTTTGTTATTCAATGTAGTAACATAGATGAGTTTTTTCCGGGAATTCCCGGAATTCTGGAAATTCACTTTTAATTTTCCAGAAATTTCCAGATGTTTTTTGTTATTAATTTGAAAAATTAATTATTAATTTATATATTTTTACATAAAATTTTAAATACGACAACTTTTGCACTTAAACAAATGTTTTCTATAATTAAAATTTTTACGAGATCAATTTTTGTAACAATTTTTTTACTTTTTTTTTGTTGCTTTTTAATTCTTTCAAAGTAACTTTTTCGAATATTAGAAATTCCCTTTTGTAAAAAGTTTAATATTCTAAATTCCGTTTTAAAAGTTTACAAAAGGTTTTGTTACAGGGTTATTCATTCTTATATACTAACCGAAATTTCTAGAGTATTCAAAAAATACTAACCAAATGTCCTGAGTATTCTGTTGAAATATTTTTAAAAATTGTATTATTTGAATTTTGTTACGTTTTCATGAGATTTCTAGCATAAATTATTTTAAGAATATAATATCAAACGAACTATTATTTTAATTCTTAGAGCCACATCTATAAAGCTATAAATGTTTTAAACTAACATTATTTGTTTACAATAATAAATGTTTTAAATTTATATTTTTTAACATGTCAACGTTTTGTAAATATATTATAGATTTTATTAGTATATTCTTATTGTATATATATAAAGGATATATTTTTTATGTATGTAATGTATTTTTATGTATGTAATGTATTTTTATGTATGTAATGTATTTTTATCTATGGAACTTTATGTATGTCTATTTTATTAAAATGTAATCTTTTAAAGCAATTTGTGCGATTGATTTTGTAAACAAAAATACTTTCAATAATAACTGCGTTTTCAATGAAATTATTAATAATCGTCAAAGTTAATACAAATAATTTTAACCACTAACCCATTTTCCTCAGTGTACCTGATAACTGATTTTTTTTTCCCCAAGAAAGGAAAGTTTTTTCTTAGAAATTGGTTTTACTAACTTCAATTATTTTTGCTTCAGCAAACTTGTTATACTTAAAGTTACTTTTTTCTGTTTTAAATACTAATTAAAATTATAAAGCCCACTCACTAAACATCATCAGCGTTATTGTGAAGCAGTTCCGCTTCCTCCTTACAAAGTAATTTAACATTTTTAGTTAATTTTTATCTAGCTAATTGAATTTCTACAGTAACTCAATGATTTAATTATTTCATTTGTTTATCTTACTAAGAAAAATTGTTTCAAATGTGTTAAACTTTTTAAACTACATGAAGCATAAAAAAGTTATTGAAAAAACTTTTTTATCTATAAATAAATCATATATATAATTTTTTGCAAATGTTTTTGATAAAAAGTAATGATTTTTTTAAAAGTTTTTAGTAAAAAACTTTAAAAAAATCTATATTCCAAATATATTAATACAGAATATAAATGTTTTTTGTATTATAGATTTTTTTTTAGAGTTTTTACTGAATTTTATTTAAAAACATTTGCAAAATATTTGTAATAAAGATTCACATTTTTACTCAAAAAAATATTTTTGTTATCATGATAACAAAAATATCGAGACATTTTTTCGAGATATTAAAAAAAATGTGCCAATGAATGAACAATCTATTTTTATTGTACTAAAAATTCTTCTTTGTAAGTCTTACTCTTTGCTTTTCTTCTAAGTTAAAGGTACCTTAACCTTTAAGTTATGCGGGAGGAAGAAAGGCATAGAAGAATAAAAAATTACCTGTTACTTGCAATTTTTGAATGAAGACTTTTGTCTTTGTTAAATTTGTTAAACTTCTGCGTGCAATTCAATGAGTTTTTTTTTTTTTTCATAAATCAAGTTATATTATCAAGTTAAAGAAATCACGAGTAGACTTTAACATCCGCTGATGACACTATTATTACATTGAATATATTATATTAACGGAGGTTTCATTATGCACGCGCACATTACAGACTCCGTTAAATAAATACTAAGGCACAATTTAGTTTAATGTCTCTACTCTTTACTAATGACTATGTATTTTTCTATATAAAATAAGACAAACTAGTATATAAAAACCTAGTATATTTCCATTCTCTCCAAATTGTTTGAATTGTATTTTGAAGGACTAAAGATCTTTTTCGGACTTTGCCGATGCTTTTGGAATTGAAACTATCACAGAAAAAGAGAAGACTTACGTTATTAAAATCATATGTAAGTTATGTGATCTTCACCAAAATAAAATTTTATCCAAAACCAATGGTGCCCTATGGGCAGCAGCCCTACGGATTTAATGTATATAATGACACAAGTCATGTTAAAATATTTTAACATGTTGGTATATTTTATTCAAGTTGGTATATAAATAAAAATAAAAATATTGTTCAATAAATAAATTAAATTTGTTCTTAACAAAGATTACCTCATATTTATTCTTTTTTTATTTTATTATTCTAAACTAAATTGCTTACAAACAAAACAAAAAAAAGAGTTTTGTAATTATACATAGAATGAGCTAAGGAACTTAATTTTTAATGAACAAATTTTAACAAACGTTTATTATAAACAGATGCGATTCAAATTATTAAATATACTTATTTTGTTTTATTTGAGTATTTTTTTAAGTTTGCGCAATTAAAGTATTGCGTAGAAGTATTAAAAAAGTTTTTTGTTTTAAAAATAGTTAACAAATGAGTTTGCAAGACTTTTATATTTAACTTTTTTTTTTTTTAATTTCATAAAAAAATTAAAAAAAAAAAATTTAAGCGCTAAAAACGATTTTTCTCTATAGCTCTGTGTTTCTTTGTGATTTGTGTACAATGTAAAACATTTTTAAGATTTCTTAATTACGTATCAAAAATACGCTCAAAGCAGAAATGAAACTTTTTTATATTATACAATGCAAGTTAAGCTAAGCAACATAATTTTAAAAAATACTTAAAAACCTAAATTATTCTTTGCTAGTCAAAACAAAATCTCTGTTTAAATAATTAACAAGAGTTTTTGTTTATCAATATGTTAATTTTTTTTTGTTTACTCCCGAAATTTTAAAAAAATATATCATTATAATGATTTAAAAACAACATTCAAAAACAAATTTTAGAAATAATTAAAGTATATATATATATATATATATATATATATTTTTTTTTTTTTTTTTTTTACAAAATAATATTGGACTAAAATTAATATTAGAATAACAATTGAAAACATAACACATTTTTTATAATTACATTTTCATATTTACATTTAAAACATTTATAGTTATTTGAGTTAATTGTCAAATTGAACTAGTTAGCAGTTATTTATTTACTCCGGTAGTTAAAACACTTAACGTCTATAAAAAAAAATAAAGATAGTTTATGACGTCGAATATCGCGTTAAGCTAATGCATTAAGCACTTTTTATTTAAAACAAGGCATCAAACGTATTTGTTAAATCAGTATAGTGACATGAAGATGCTAACCTTCTAAGCATAATGCATAAGGCTTCCATTCCTCTACAGATAGTTCTTTGGAAGCATTTTATTATATTAGGTAACCTAGAATTATTTAGCAAATGTGGTAAGCCAATTTTTTGAAAACATAGACCCATTTAACACTGTGCATCATCAAACAACGACAAGTTAAAGCTGATGTAGTCCCAGTGAATAGTTTATTTTCATAGAGCAGTGCAGATTCAAAATCATCTATAATGTCCTCTGAACAACTAACATGTCTCTCACCATTTTTAGACTGTTTACGCAGCCATGTTTCAATTTGATACTTTTGTTATTTTTACTAATAATTATATACAATATATATATACAATATATATATATATATATATATATATATATATATATATATATATATATATATATATATATATATATATATATTAAATAATCAAAATCACAAGTTTACATTCGGTTTTTAAACTTTTCTAAATTAAAGTAAAAATATGATGAAACAATGAGACCGTAGTTTTACAATGGCATTTTATAATACATTTATGCCTTAGTTTATAAATTAGCCTATTATAACTGAGCAACCAAACTTGATAACTGTACAAACAATATATGTGCAACACCATTATTTGATTTCAAATCAGTTCACAACATGATAGTGAATTTAAACCCAAATAAATCTGTAGGCCCAGATGGACTGAGTCCTAGTCTACTACCTTTTTTGAATAAAAGTATTTTGTATGCAGACAGAGAAGTACCTGACTGCATTGAAAATGCAAATAGATAGCTTAAAGGTCCCGCTAATCCATATGCACAGTTTTTTTTTACCAATAAATAACTAGTAATTTAAGTATGCATTACCAACTGTATCTGTGTATGTAAGCATGCATTATCATCTGTACATCATTTGAGAGTTTGGGCACAAAAAAGTATGGAATAGCTTGAGTATCAAACACATACTAAACTTTAAACTAAGATTATAGCTTGATATTATTTATGGAAATAATGTTTATTTTTGAAAACTTACAAACATACTAAAAATTTTTTTTTTATTTAACATACATAGTTATAAGCACTAACCCTTTTCGATACTTCTTTCTCATTGGATCTCGTTTTTTATCTGTTAGAAAAAAAAAATAAAACAGTGTAAACTATTTTATCATATACTTTACATAATTTACAACTACATGATATAATTTATAACTAATATAAATAAACAATATAAATAGATTAGGAACTTATAACTGAATATTAATTTTCATTAAATGATATAGGGTAAAAGGTATTGTAGAAAATCTTTTTCTGAACAAAATAATATAAAATTTTAATAAAAAATGAATGATTTTTTTAGTTGTTAGTTAATTGTTAAATTTTTTAGTTAATTGTATTTTTTAGTTAATTGTAATAGTAAAATAAGTTAGTTAATTGTTAATTTTTTTTTGAAATGAATGAAATATGCTGATTATTTATTTGACAAACATGGGCTTTAATGATTATGTCTGAACTGACCTATAAATTTAAAATTTTTTATATAAATTTTAATTTACTTGTTATAAAATCTATTTTAATGTAAAATATATCTCCAAAAAAATTTGCATGCAAACAAAAAACAAAAACTATACACCAAAGAGCAAATTGCGCTTGCAAAGATCAAATTACAAACCAGAGAACATTCACTTAACAAAACTACTTTATCATCAGCATACCAGTAGCAACTTTTTACAGATGTGTTCATAGTATAGGTAAAACAATTAGCAGTGGTTTAAACATGAAATTGTCGCAACAACTGTGAACCAACTCTGGTAGATTTGTTCATCAAATTTATCAAATGGGGTATTGGTAGATTGAGAAAGACAAAAAATTGTGGGATAAGCATTAATTTTATCAATAACAACAATATTCGCTGAATAAAGTATTGCTTAATCAATTGATCAGAAAAAATATTGAAAACAAGCAGTTTTGTACAGAAGTAACACAATAAAGAACAAAGTAAAGAAGTGCCAAATGAAAGCATACTAAAGAAAAGCTTCCTTTTATATAGGTTTCTTATATGCCTAGGCCAAGCATGTGAGTTTACTAATCTTTGCCAATCAAAGGATAATAACCATCAACACTGAAATGCAAAGTAAAAACAGCCAAATTGTAGTCAGTAAAAGTTTGATTGAAACAATTTGTTGGTAATAAAGATTTAAAAATGCTTTTAGGTAATATATAATATAAATAACAATACATAAGAAAAGCACAAACAGGTACACCAACTACATGCACTGGTTATACTCTGATAATTTATAGTTGTTGGTTAAATCAGCCTCTCTGAGAATACAGAGCTCTAAAAACCTTTCTACTAGCTAGCTTCAGAATCATTTAACTAATGTTTAGAGCTATACCCTCATTAAGAGATAACATAAAGTTGTTGAATTGAAAAGTCACTACCAAAGAGAGACAAGCAAAAAAAAATAAACAATGTATCACGTCATAAAGGTTTAAGCGCTTATCATTCTAGGCAGGAGATAATGTAACACAAGTTTACCTATATGCTGGTTTATTAGATAAAGAAAGGAACCTTAAGCATTACTAGAGGGCATTCTACAAGGCCCAAAGTGAGTATTTTTAAGAAACTATATCTAGCCTCTACCTAATTTAGTATTAGGTCACTGGATATTTTTTTAGTTAGAGTTGACTCCCCTACCGCAAAACACAGGGCAGCTTTTACTGAATTACTAGTAGCAGAGTAATCATAATAATCATGATACTAACTTAAAAACACAAAATAGAGGTTGTCCATTTAGAATTGCAATAAGGCAAAACATAAAAGTAAACAAAAAAGTTTGCTAAGAATTAAACAAGTTAGCCTATAGTATTAAGTAAAAATTAATGTCCACCATTGATTCAGCAAATTCAACCATCCATCGATTCAGCAAATTAAACTGGCAAATTCAAGAAATACTGTCAAGACAATAAATATATACTTATAAAACTCAAAAAAATGCATCAGCTAGGCAACAATCATTCTTCATCATAGAAAAAATTAATGTCAATGCAGTATCGGACAAAACATGTTGGACAAACTCAAATTTAGAACAAAAGTTGATCAAAAACTAAAAAAAAAAAGTAAAACAATTGTTCATATTAACTTCTAAATAGTTTATTATGTTCTTAACAAAATTTAAAATGTTTGAATCATACTAAGAATCATAAAAATAGTTTATAACACATTTTTCTCAACAAACTACATTTTTCTTTGGACAAAGCAAGGTGGACAAGTCAAAATGATGCTTTTTTTTATAAGATTTCATTGTCTTTATTCAATTTACCTTATTTTTTGTTCTTACTTTTATCATAACAGTACTCTAAAATAATAAAATAGATTTTGGAACATCTGACCAATGTATACACATGATTTATGATACAATATATAGTTGTCAGGGCGCGACAAATCGTTTTTATTTTCACGGACGTTGACGTTTGTATATTAAATTATTGACAAACGTCTAATTAAAGTGATACGTGTCAAATAGTATTTAAGAATATAAGTTTTATATTCAAATAAATTTTTATTCTAGTTAATAAGCTTTTGGATATATGAAAGATAGTTATTGAATTTAATCAATTGTTATATTTCCGAAACAATTTTTCATTTATTTGCAAAGTGCGCGCAAATTATTGATTTTTAATATGCTATGATTGTATACTGTTTCAATGATGCAAAAGTTTTAATATGCTATGATTGTATACTGTTTCAATGATGCAAAAGTTTTTTTTTAATTTAGTTTGTTAAATTTATTTACTTATAAAATATACGTATAATCATAAAGAAATTAAAATAAAAGGAACTAAAGAAATAAATCGAAAAATGACGTCTCATTTATAAATATATATTAATTTTTATAATTATATAAATGGATTTAAAAATCACTAGAACTTTTTAATTTATGGCCTTTCAAATGTCTAATACCAATCCAATTTTTGACATGTTTTTGGGGCAAAAAGACTTCAATTAACTATGTATTATACGTATAATATCTTCTAAGGTATTGTCATTTAATGAAGTTCACAAAATATTTTTAATAATATGAATATGAATCCAACTTAGTTGTTGCCCATGTTTTTTATTGCTTGGCGGCAATCCATTTATGGTGTTCCAAAACATAAATTCAATATCTTTTGGCCATATATCCAATTTTCCCAAAGTCATAGCACAACTCAAGTCATTGCACTTTTTTTTGGAATGTTTAGTTTTTCTCTCTTCTTCTCCTTAATGTTTAATGTTACGTTCCTCTGTATCATCTCTCTTTAACATCGAAAAGATGCTTAGTTGTTTTGACATTTTTTAAAAAAATTTAAAAATAATAGTATATAAAGTATTTAATAATAAGTTAATAAAAATATCATATTATTGGTGTTGTTAAACTCACAATAAAAAAATTAAAATTTTAACAAACATAATAACTTTATATACTCTATTAGATTATGTATTTTTTAGCAAAACTTGAACATTATTTTTAAAACATTTATAAGTTTTAAAATGCTAAACAACATTACTTCACTTTAAAGAAAATAAGAAAAAAAAACAAAAAACACGCTATTAAAAAAGCAATCGATGTTTAAGCATGGTTTTTTTTAACGTAATTGCAAATGGAGTCATTTTAAATAAAATTTTGAATGCTTTTTTAAATGCATGCAAAAACCATGCTCAAACTAATTACTTTCTTTGTTCCATTGAAGAAAGTAGCTTTAGCGTGGTTTCTTTTAAAGTCTTTGAAAATAGGTTTAAAATTTTCGTAAATAAATGTTTTTTGTGTTTTTTATAATAAATAAAAAACGATCAATAGTTAATTGTTTAGAAAAAAAAACTGCTAAAGTAACGCGTTCATTTTGAAAAAATTTAGGTGAACGCCAACGTTTGCGTTAGGAAAAGTAAAGGAACATGACGTTCATTTTTCTGTCTTTTTGTGTGCAGAGGTTCGCACGTTCGTCAATTTTTCGCGCCCTGGTTATATATATATATATATATATATATATATATATATATATATATATATATATATATATATATATATATATATATATATCATATATATATATATATATATATATACATATATATATATATATATATATACATATATATATATATATATATATATATATATATATATATATATATATATATATATATATATATATATATATATATATATATATATATATATATATATATATATATTAGGGTATATATTTTGGTGTCCCAAAAAACAACATTTTTGAAAATAATCTACTCTCACCCCCTAAATGTGTTCTATCTAATACAAAAACACTAGGTTTAAATTTTTTTTGAATAAAAAATATTTTAAGAGGTCCCTCAAGTCCCTCAAATATTTAATGGGTCTCTAATATTTTCGAAAAAAAAGTTTTTCAAAAATATGTCAACCTGGTACTCAAATGAAGCGAAATTATATAAATATTTCAAAAATAATATTCATTTTGAAATATTTTATCAAAATTATCATTAAAAAACATAAGAAATGCATTTTTTTCATTTTTTCTTAAAAAACGCAATTTTTTATGTAATAAAACCAAAAATTACAATTTTGTTTTGAAATGAATATTATTTTTAAAATTTTTATATAATTTCGCTTCATTTGAGTACCAGGTTGACATATTTTTGAAAAACTTTTTTTCGAAAATATTAGGGACCCATTAAATATTCGAGGGTCTTGAGGGACCCCTTAAAATATTTTTCATTCAAAAAAAATTTAAACCTAGTGTTTTTGCATTAGATTAACAACAAGATTTAACACATTTAGGGGGTGAGAGCAGATTATTTTCAAAAATGTTGTTTTTTGGGACACCCTAATATATATATATATATATATATATATATATATATATATATATATATATATATATATATATATATATATATATATATATATATATATATATATATATATATATATATATATATATATATATATATATATATATATATATATATATACATACATATATATATATATATATATATATATATATATATATATATATATATATATATATATATATATATATATATATATATATATATATATGTTATATGACATAAGCTATGTCTTTGTTTTTTAGCTTTACTTGTTTAGCTTTAATTTCATTTTACTGGTGGCAAAATCCATGAATTTTCCATTATTGTATCAAACTATCAAATATGCATCAAATGTAAATATGTTAATTCTAGATTCCTAAATACAAATTGCAAACACAAATATTTGCATTTTAGATTACAAAAATATTTTAAACTTGTTTTATTTTTAACTAATGATCATCTTCAACCAATCTAATTTATTATTTAACCTAATTTATTACTTAAATTTTTAATTTTTTCTTAAATTTTTAATTAGCTAATTTTTCCCTAAAAAAAAGAATCAAAAAATAAATTTATTTTTGTACTTTTTTAAATTTAAACACAAGTAAAGGATTTAGAAAAAAGACAAAAATAAAAAAATCTTTCTGCGTTGAATGAAAAACACTGTAGAGGTGGCAATTATTCAGTGTTTATAATATATTTACAGTTAATATATTTTAATATATTAACTGTAAAGAGTATAAAATAAAATTTTACCGTTCACAATCTCCTCAATTGAAACAATATTGGAAGTTTGACTCTCTTGAGATTTGATTCTTCTTAACTTCAGCATCTCAAATTTGTTCTTTAAAGAGTAATAACACAAAATATAAAACACAAAAAATCAAAAAGTTAAGATTCAATATAAAAATTATGTAATTTTTTGGGTATTCAGGATCCCAAAAGAGATCAAAGTTACTAAAAAATGAAAAACAATTTCATAAAAATGAATTTTTACTGTTTTTTCTCCTTTTACATAAGGATAATTATAAAGAAGGAGAAAAAGCTAATCAAGCTTTTTAGTTTTATAAGCGTTTTCTTATGTATATTCAACTAATAAGTTGACTTCTATATTATAATAATATATATAGAAGTCAACTTATTAGTTGTGTATACTTTAGTAAAAACTTATGAAACTAAAAAGTTTGAACATTATTACTCTTTGTTAAAAATAAATGCCATCTTCATGTTTTCCTTTCATATACAACCTGTAACTTTTTAAGTCTTCAGTTAACCATTTCTAGCTTTTTAGCCTATCCTCTATTTTAAAGTAACTCATAACTTAATGGCGGTTGCTTGCAATCTTTTTGGAAGTAAATAAGTGTTTAAAGATATATAATTATATGCTAGTATTTAACAAATAGTAAATATAAATATAAAATTATAATATAAAAAGTATTATAAATTTCTTTCTAGCCCCGGCTATCAACCCCTGCTAATATTATTACCAGGGGTTAATATTGTCGGGGCCAGGTTTGCAAATTTTTTTTTAGCCAGGACCTGGGCCGGGGCCACAGTCACTTCCTAATTTACACTATCTTAAAAATCAAAATTAAAAAGAGAATAAAAAAAGCAGGTCCCTTTCTCTAACAGGCCACCTAAGGATTTCTTTTCATCTCTTCATGCAAATTTTTCACCTCTTTATGTGTCAAAAAACATTTTATTTTATTTAGATTAAATATTTTAAAAAATTTATATAGGAAAGTGAAAAAAAAAAATTATATAGAAATTTTTATACAAAGAAAACAAAACTTGAATAGCAAATATAATAGAGTTAGATATTTTGTATTCTGCTTCAAAAAAAAAAACTCAACAATAAAATATGTATGAAACATTAAAAATACTCAAAGTATTTTACCATTAAGTTTTAACTTAATTCCTTGCTAATCATTTGAAACTTATATTTACAAACTTAGAAAAACATTTTAGACTTTGATTAAGGCAGAATAATTCGATTGCACAGTGCATATTTGACATTGCATAATATTTCCAAAAAGGTTGGATGTGGTAAAGATTTGTGTTTTTGATTATTTAAAGACTTAAGATATTTGTTTGAAAATTTAAACCACAGGAAACATTTAAAATGCTGCGGTATTTACTATTAAGGGCTGACATAATCATCTGATTTTAATTTAATTTAGAATCTGAAGTTTACCTTTTTTTAAAAAATAAAAATTTCCTTTTTAATTAAATTTTATCACTCCTCTATAAATTTTATTCTCTGTGCTCATTTTTTTCCACCAGATCATTTTTTTTATAAAATACCCTAAAAAGTGTAGTACTTTTGGTATCTAAATTTTATCTTTATAAATTTTTAGTTAATTAGCAACACTGAGACAACTATAGGCACATTGCTCGGAGTCCTATGCACTATATATGATTAAGTCAAATTCTTTAATAACCTAAAACATGATTAAAGTCCCCAAAACTGTTCAATACTAAAAACCACCACCTAATTGTTTTAATCTATATGTTCTTCAAAGAAACTTTACTTCAGTTGAATTTTACTATTTACGAAATTTGCCAGACTTACTATCTCATTGTGAGACTAATTTAAATTCGGCTTTTTCATCTTCGGTTGATAACTAATATTCTTTGGTTTGCAAAGCCTCTAATAGTCACAAGTTTGGCCTGGACATGGTTTGAATCCTTTAACTATTTTTTTTGTGCTTCCATTTAGCACCTCTTCACTCAATCAATCTTCATTCAAACTTTTATTTCTCAATCTCTTACTCAGATAGTTAACTTTGTGACTCATTTTTAAGACACAAATTTACTAAACAAACCCCAATCACTTACCTTCACTCCTTGATTTATGTTTCTTGTCTCTGACCCTAGCTTGTATTCAGTCTCCTTTAGATGGTTCCAACCATGCATTGATCTCTACAAACCTTTAATCTTGTACTTCTTCTTTGAGCTCACCCTATCATTGCACTACTTACTACTACCATGAAGCTGACTGGTATTCTTTTAGTGATTTTCTTTGTGATGGACCTTTGACTTGTGTCTTCTGTTTCTCTGCTGATAACTCCATCTTCTATTTAATCTCCTGACCTAGACAGGTATAAAGAAACTTTTTTTCTCTTCTTGTTAGTTTCAAGTCAAGTCTTATTCTTCCATTAAATTCATTCTAACAAAAGCCATTGTTTAATATTCAAATCACTCTGGTCTCTATTGTTGAAGTTATTTCTCACTTAAACTCCTTTACTGCTTGTGCTTTAGACAACATTCCTGTTATAGTCTTGCATTATAGAACCTTTCTGTTATAACAGTTAACAAATCACCTTTAGAAAAGAAGATCAAAATACATATTTCATTTTAGAAAATTAGTGTGACATTAAAAATTTGTTGACCAAAGACTCAAAGACCTTGTGTTAATAAAAAGAAGAATGATTGTATGATAGTTAGAGAAGATTGATTGTATGATAGTTAAAGAATAACACAGGTCAACAACAAAAAATTTTTTTCAGGTGCCAAGCAAACAAAATGTTTGTCGTATAACATTTCTCATTTTGATTTCAAATATATAATCATTTTGATTTTAAAATGCTAAAGAATCTTAAAAAAAATTTAACACAATGTTTCTCACCAATAATACAAAAAGTACTTATTTTTATTACAAACAAATATTATTTTTAATTTTTAAAACCTCTATGAAAATACGCTTCTTTTGAGACCCAGGTTGATATACTGTTGAATAATGTTTTTTTTGACAATATTAGGGATTTTATCCCAAATGCTAAAGATTTGAACCCAAATATCTTTATAACTTAACGTGATAGCGAAAAATGAGTTGCATATTTAAAATCAAAATCAGAAATGCTTATTCTTTAACTATCATACAATCATTCTTCTTTAACTATCATACCATAATTCTTCTTTTTATTATCAACAATGTCTTTGAGTCTTTGATTAACAAATTTTTAATATCACATATTGAGTCTAATTTTCTAAAATTAAATATGTATTTTGATCTTCTTATTCTAAAGGTGAACAGTTCGTACTCAAGAATTAAAAAAATACTGTAACTTTGTTGAAGTTGAATACAGACAACTATTATCCTACAGTAGTACATAATGGCTTTCACTCCTAGTATTACACAGCTAAGTGTATATGTATTTTGATCTTCTTATTCTAAAGGTGAATAGTTCGTACTCAAGAATTAAAAGAATACTGTAACTTTGTTGAAGTTGAATACAGACAACTATTATCCTACAGTAGTACATAATGGCTTTCACTCCTAGTATTACACAGCTAATTTAAATGTTTCCTGCTTTGAAATCATACTTTCTTTTACAGTCAAACTCCAATACTACTCAAAAAAATTTTTAACAATGACTTTAGTGAAATATATTTAAGGCAAGTACATTCTCCGATGAATATTTTCCAAGAAAATATCCTGAAAATAGAAAAGAAAAATATTTCTGTCATTGAGGTGATTGACATATTGAAAACAGTAAAAACTAAATGATAAATGAATGACAAATTAGACCAAATATTCTCGCCAATGATAGTCGAAGGAATGCATAGGAAGTTGAGAGAAGATGGATATGAAGCTGAAAGTAATGTCTTTTGTAATAATGTAATAAAAATGTATGTTACTTGTCTAAAATATTTAGATGAATGAAGTGGACAATTAATGACTATAAATTCTTTTCTTGTATGCTTCTGAATAAAATACCAAAATAAGAAAGTATAGAAAATTGCTTGCATTTTTTAGCTGACAAATCCATTGAAATTAATGATGTAAAGTGCTTTGATCAATTTATTAACTTAAAGAAATATGTCGAAGTGAAATTAAACTATCTGGTGATGATGATAATGAAGAATATTTAAGTGCTTCAACTAAACAAAAAAGGACTTGATATTTTGCTATTAAAAATTGTTTAATTTTTTTTTTTGAAATAATGGCACATAACGCTAATGTGAAAAGATTATTTTCTTTTAGGAACATCTAATGGTCAAATGAAAGAAGTTACTTAGCGGAGTCAGCAAAAGGAATTCTTTAAGTAAGGTATAAATTTATAACATATACTTGCAATGGATTTTATGATTATTTAAAAACAAATGCAACATCACTAAAAAGAATTAAAAGTAGTGCAAAACATGATTGGTTTAAAGAAGATTCATGTATGTTAACAATTAAATCAAATTCAAAAAATTTAATAATAAAAAGTATATAAGAAAAAAATAAAAATTATCATTAATCAGAAAAGTCATTCAATCAGATACAGCATGTTGTGTTTCCTATTTTTTGGGAATGGGAATATTGTAACCCTACCTAACATTGTACAACGTTTTGTTTTTATGTTTAAAGTTAAATGTTTGTATATTTACAAAATATACAACAGTATAACACTGAGTGTATATTTAAACATTAAAACACTATTAAAAATATTATGTTATTTATCCAAACCTTGAAGTGATTAGCAGAAGACATTTTACATTCTTTATCCAAATTTTCCATGCATTCATTGTCCATACTAATATAAAGACCATCTTTATTTTCATCTATTTTCCCAATTACCTTAGTAATATTAGATACCTGATTTTCATTTTTAACATCTTCTGAGGAAATAGAAGTGTCACTGGATGAATCATAATCCACCAACATAATTTTTACTTTTTAATATAAAGACATCTACTCATCTAATCATTTTATCGACCTATTGTATAGTAAATAGTATAACAGATTTTCCAAGTTTTGAAATCAGATTTTACTAAGCAAACGGTCAAAGGCAAGAAAAAGCTATTTCATATTCAGAAAAAATAATTTAAAAAAAGTAAACCGTCATACAATTTTACCGACACTATATCGGAATTAAGTATAATTTTACTATATCGGAATTAAGTATAGAAAAAGCTAATTAATAATAACATCAAATTTAGAATGATATAAGGGGTTGTCCATTAATTACGTCAACAAAATAGGGGGGAGAGGGGGTCAAAACTTTTTCGGTAATTGTTGACACGGGGGAGGGGGAGGTCAATTAAAGTTGACGTCAACAATTTTTTTTGAATTTCATTGCTTAAATGATGGAAAACTAGGTCGAGTTTGTAGCGTAGTTTCTTTGTATAGGGGGGGGGGTATCAAAAGTTGACGTAATTTTATAGGGGGGTCTCTGGAAATTTGACAAATTGTTGACAAGGGGGAAGGGGAGGTAAAAATTTCAAAAAATTTGTTGACGTAATTAATGGACAGCCCCTAACAATGTGTCATTGTATTTTGACAATGTGTGATTGATTTTTTAAAGTGTATCATTAATTTTTGACATCATTTTTTGATAAGATTTTTTCAATTCAACTTGTTTTAATAAATGTATTCAATTGTTAATCTACAAATGTTTCAGGTGAAATTAATGAAACTCTTCCCGATATGTGCCAAAAGCATCGCAATTCCGCTTACAAAAATCTTCTATGAATCTTTTAATTCTGAAATAGTACCAACTATCTGGAAATTAGCAAATATTAATCCGATCTATAAAAAAAAAGGGAGACAAAGTACTTCCTGAAACTATCGACCTATTTCACTAACCTCGGTTGAGGGCAAAATATTTGAAAAAGTTGTAAAAAAAAAAATCTTGAAGCACATCAACGATAACAATTTGCTCTCTACAAATCAACACGGCTTCCTTCATCATAAGTCTTGTGTAACCAATTTAATTGAGACTTCTGATATTATTTCGTCTTAGCATCGCACCAGTTTATAGATGTAATCTACCTCGACTTTGCAAAAGTTTTTGATTCCGAACCTCACAACAGACTCATGTTAAAATTGTGTTCTTCAAGGTTCTATTCTCGGCCCGCTTCTCTTTATTCTTTTTACAAACAATCTTGCCCAACTTACTGAAACTTCTGAAGTATTTTCCAACGATACTAAACTTTTTTTTTAAACTTTATTGCGGACTAACTTCGTCAATCTGTAGGATTGTCTATACTTAGTATACGAGTGGTCAAACACTAGGTTAATTAAATTAAACATTTCAAATATTTAAAAACTGATGTAGCTTTGGTTGAATCTGTTCAACGTAAAGCAACAAAATGGGCTTTAAGCTTAAGAAATTTTCAATACTACGAAAGACTAAAAAGACTAAATCTACCATCACTTGAGTTTCGGCGCCTACGATGCGATCTTATTCAAATTTTTAAACTAATACATCGATTTGATATAATTAATAATATATATCAACCAAAATTTATTAACTCATTGTCACGTGGTCACCATCTTAAAATAAGACGTTAATATATTCCAAACTGTCTTCCAAACACAACCAACTATATAATAGATCAGCAAAATACTGGAATGAACTACGCGAGCAAGTAACTTTATTACTCAACTGTACTTTCTTTTAAAATTAGATTAGATCTCTGGTTAAGAATAAAATTCCGAACAAATATTTATAAAACTGGTTGTTTATAGTAGGGCGTTTTCCCTGCTCGCTGTATATATTGTATGTATATTTTACGGCTACAACTATAAAAATAATAATAAAAAAATCAATCGATATAATTAATTAGTCTTACATTTAAATCGGGTAATTTTAAAAATTATAAATACACGAAGTACTTTCAATCTTATATCAGACAAAGTTCAAATGTCGAGAAAATGTATAGTTTTATTGAACCAAATTGCTAATAAAGTATTTGATATAAAATCAACTATCGGACAAATATTGGATAGTTTTCGCTACTCTTTAAAATCGATTTTAACTATTCAAATAGTGTCTTTGATGGTGACTGTTAAATAGTGTCTTCAACACTTCGGCGTTTAGGAATTCCTGAATGTCGAAATACCAAAACTAGTTATAACCTATCACTGATTTATTTCTACTGATAGTATCAGTAGAAATAAAAAAAAAATATGGACCTAGTAGTTATCCAATTTAACAATTTCCAAACAACTTTCTAATAATTATTTTAAATGTGAAAAACTGAAATAGTTTCAATCATTTTTTATTTATATTTCGCTTCTTTTAATTTTAGTATTACTATAAATTAGTTGTTTGTTATTGTTTTTTGTACAAATTTATGTACCTTATAGTTCTTAACTACTCAATGCTGTGTGCTAGAAGATTAATAACACAAGTAGGCAGCTGAATATCTTTTTAAAACAAACTATTATAAATTAGTTTTTCAAATAGATATCACAAATTCACAAATGCTGCATGAACTATTAGCTGAGCTTTGTGTAAATATATTATATATATATAATATAATTACAAAAGTTGTGACCGTTAAATAACAACAAAAAATTTTTAAAATTTTGACGTCACCTTTATAATGGCTTCTTTTACCTAAGTATAAAAAAAATGAAGTCAAAAAATTTGTTTTTAAATATTGTCCAATGTCCAAATTCATACCACCGTACGTTGGAGAACATTGATGTTTTTGTATCTCTAAGGCCTCACGGACTTTTCTTTCAAACTTTTTATCTTCAACTTTAAGTGTTACTACTTTATTCCATTCAATGTCCTCATTACAATTTACTTTATACAAAGCTAATGCAGACTGGTTTAACTTGCCTTCAGTCAAAAATTTTAGGTGTTGTTGAACCCTTGTTCGTATTTGAAGTTTTGTTTCACCAACATATGCTTTGGAGCATTTGCACTTAGTTAAATAGGTTCCTGGAGCGCTGTTGCATGGTAATTTAGACTTATTTTTAGACGTTAATAGCGTTTTTAGGTTTTGATTTAAAAACAGTTCTGTAACCAGCTTTTCTGAATGTTCTTCTAAATCTAGGAGATATTATTGGTATTCATGGTAAAGAGATTGTAGGAAGGTTGTTAGAGTTTGATGGAATTTCATTTTTGTTAGCAAAACGATTTTTTCGAACCTGATTAGAAATATCTTTAAGCATTTTTTCATCGTATCCATTTTCAGTAAACACTTGAATTAAAAAATTATCTTATCTTTTAAATGGTTTTTGCTGCATATTGAGTATGCTCTGTGTATGTATCCTTTGAATATTGCTTTTAAAATTTTAGAATCATGATTAGAATGAGGTTTGATTCGGATATTGGTTATTGCATCCTTCCTGTAAACCTTGAACTGATATTTTCTTTGTGTATTATTAATAACAGTTATATCCAAAAAGTTAAGTATCTTATTTTTGGTTTCAACCTCAATAGTATATTTTAAAGAAAGATATTGTCTGTTAAGAATTGTTTGGAACTGTTCCGCTTGATTTAAGTTAAAAAACCTTGCATGGCTGTCGTTTATATATCTATAAAAGGATTTAGTATCAATTAAAGGAATCATTGTCGTTGCCATTTTTATTGCTTTTTCCTAATGGTATTGTAAAAAAGAATCAGCCAAAACAACCATAAAAGACAATCCAATTGGGCCTGAATCCTCCAACTCATGAATCTCACCATTCCACAAGAAATAACAACGAAACAAACAAAGTTCAATTAGTTTTATCTCTGATGCTGCAGTTTCCATTTGAAAATTAAACCCTAATTCACATCAAGAGTTGTTTATAGGTGGCTGTAAACTGTTGGCAATTGATATTGTTGTTAAACATTCGTGCAAATCTCACAGCTAAATAAGATCTCAGCACAATAAAGAACTTGTTAGATGGTTTTGACTAAGCGTATATGTTAAATAATTTTATTGTGAACCTTCTTTTTTAACTCAGTAAAGATATATTTTAATTGCTACCGAATATCCAATGAAACCAGTTTTTAGACTAGACAAATTCATTTGCGTATCAATTAATCTCTTCAAGACTAATGATATAATGATATCAAGAAACGAAAGAAAAAAAAAAGCCTTGCTGCATGCACACAATGCTGACACTTGTATCCTTTGACAAATAGGTTTTGTGAATTTAATACGTGATGTAATCAATTTTTTATGGGAATAAACTCAACGGCATATTTATATAATTATTTAAATGCAACATACAGTTTAATAATATAAAAAAGTCAGCTTTTATATAAACTATAACATATAACTATAATACTTAACAGCAGGTAAACAGTATGTATAACTTTAGTTAATGAGATATTTCAAAGAGGTGTTTTGAATATTTCTATATTAAAAATTTAATAAATTTGTTTTTTCAAACAAATGTTTGTTTGAGGATGAATGTAAAATTTGTTACATACATCCTCAATTCTATTGATTGATTATCCTTTGAATTATAAGAAAAGATTATTTACTTTTTATTTGTTTTAAAAGTTAATATAAATAACTATAATTCAGACCTGTTTTTTTTTTACCAGCATAAGTGATACTTAAGAATGTTTTAATATAATTATAATATAATTCTAGAAGAAACCCCTGAGTTTGTATACCCCTGTATACTGAGAGCACTCAGTTCATGCATCATTTGTACAAAATGGTATCTTGCTACAAAAAATAGAGAATATAAAATTTTAGATAGAGATGATTGCTGCTTAACATGCTGTTATATTATTAACCTTCTAGCATACAGCATTGGGTAAGTAAGAATTAAAAAGTACATAAATTATACACAAAACTTAACTAAAATTGTAAATGCCATTTAATAATAAATTGAATTTTTCGAAAATTAATTACTTTTTTGTACTCTAATATATATAAAACTATATATATTAGAGTACAAAACTACGTTTCACAAATTTACGTTCAATGATTTTACTTAGCATCGGAGAATACGCAATATTAGGCGGGAGAGGACGTTTAATGATTTTTGGATATTTTTCCGACTTATTTCAAGTTTATTAAGACTCCCACCCCGTTTAATTATTTCTGCATGTTATCAAAATCAGCATCTCAAAAAAAAAAAAAAAAAAAAAAAAAAAAAAAAAAATCTAAACTAGACTTTAAAAATCTTTGACCTTTTGAAAAATTTGATTAGTCAAAAATTACTTTTTTGACTAATCAAATTAGTTTTTTTTTCACCATTCATCTAAGCATATGAAACGGCTCTTAAAAAATAAGCATATGACCGCAAGCCACACTTAAATTAAATTCATGTTCAATAAGAAATTTCTACTCACCTTTTTATTAAGATCCTAAAGTGTATTATATATGGACTGAAATCCCCCCAGCCCCACCCATTCTTTGTATTAAGGACGCAAGAGTGCTGTTTTGGGTTAAAATAAATCAAGATCAAAATTTTAGTTACTCATTTATTAAAAGATTAATAAAGTCACCAAGAAAGAGCATTACAAAATATTTAAGAAAAACAATAGAGTATGTTTTAATTATTAAACGAAGCGCGCGCATTAATACAAACTAACTTTAACAAATTTAAAGTTGAAAAAAATAATAACTAATAAATTTAAAGCTTTTGCATTATAAATGAAAAATATTTTTATATAAATATATACACACACAACACACACACACATATATACACACACACCATTTTAAATATAAAAGTTTGCGTGTGTGAATTACTAACACTATTTCCATATTTACAACAAACACTAATATATGATATATGTACAGGATCGCAGTAGCAGTTCAGGCTTGTGAGTAATGATAAAAACATGCATCGAAAAGCCATGTGTTTTGAATATAAAACTTTCGTTAGCCAGACAATTATTCCAGTGGACTTAAATACGTTTTTCGTATAAATGTAGCTATGTAATTTTCAAAAAACAAATTACTTTAAAAATTTCTTTTAAGAAAAATACATTGACATTTAGTCTGAGCCCATACTCTGGTAAGAACCTCATAACCATAGAACCTTATATGAACTTCGAAAGATCCTACATTTATACGTATTATCTTGGTAACACCTGCGGTAGTATACCAACACCATTATCTTGAGTCAGCATTAAAACGGTGTCGGAAACAACTGTATCATTGGTTTGAGTATGAACCAAACTTGTATTGTCAATCAGTGATTTATTATCGCTTGATACATTGCTCATAAAAACGGAGACAGGTTCATTACTGTCGATATGACCTGAATAAAGTGAATTTGATAAAGAAGCAGTTCTAATAGAAGATGACATCAACTTATCAACAGTCATTTGTGAACTATTAGATAAAATTTGAACATTTGGAATCTGAGAAGTTCCAATTTGATTTATATCAACATTGCACAAATGAGACACGATTTGAGCATTAGAGAAAGAAGGTTTCATATGTTTTATATTCTGAATTTGAGAGGTCATGTCTAATGGTTGAATGTCAGAAGAAATAAACATTCCAGCTTGTAATTCGGGTGATAAAACTCTTAAATCTACATTAGGTAAACTAGTCTTTATGTCGTGCTCTGCTGACATTAAATCATTTACTTTATTAATATTAGGCAATGAATGATGCAATTGGGAACTACCAGGAACGTCGTGTAGTACATTAATTGAAGAACTAATCTGCGAAGCAGATGCTAATGAAGTAGGCAATGGAGATTTTAATCCAAGTGAGCTAGATGACAGTTGTCTAATTACGCTGGAATTAGCTAAATTAGCTGTGGTACTTATCTGTAAAGAAGAGTTATTGCTATTTGACAATGAGGCCATACTTTCCAGATGATCTGGTTTAATAATTAGTGCTGTAAAAGCTAAAGCATTGTCTTGTCCGCTTAAACCGCTTTTTATAGAGTCTTCTTCATCAGTTTGTCCAACCTTGATACTGTCATTTTGGAAACAATCTTCATCTGATTTATCTTCATCATCCGACTTATCATCAGCATCATCCTCTTCATCATCTTTTTCATCTTCTTCTTCTTCAGGATCAAGTTTAACAAGATTAGGATTATATGTTTCTGAATTAGGGTCATGAGTGGCCATATGAGCAACAAATTTATCTGCGGTTTTTAAAGGCTTTCGACATACAGTACATCTATGATGCTTTCGATTCTTTTTATTATGCTGCTTAAGCAGTTTTTTGTTCGGAAATCTTTGATCACATACATCGCATACATGTTTAAGTTCTTTATCCTCTTCATGTGCTGCAACATGTTTTTTGAAATTGCGCTTGCATTTTAACATTTTAGAACAAATAGGACATTTATACTTTTTCTCTTTATTATGAGTTAATTTATGAGCACGCCAAGAAGAGCCATCTGCAAACAATCTGCCACACTCATTACATTGATAAGGCTTTTGTCCAGTATGTAAAAAAAGATGTCGTTGTAAATACTCATTCAATACAAATGCTTTACCGCACTGATTACAAACCCAAGGCTTTTCAGTGCTATGGGTTGCTTCATGCCTTGCTAAACCTCCTTTTTCTATAAACATTTTGCCACATTTATTACATTGATACGACTTTTGTCCAATATGAATAAGTATATGTCTTTTTAGATGTGCATTTTGACTAAATGCTTTATCACAAAGTTGACATTTGAATGGCTTTTCACGAGTATGTGTCAATAAATGACGTGTAAGTGAGGTGTTTCTGTCAAATGCTTTATTGCAAACAGTGCATAAGTACTTTCTTTCTAATGGATAAGACCTACGTTGTTTTTTAGGAGAAGGATCATCAATTTGCTGTTGATAGGAATGATCCATTGGTTTAGCCCCTGGCAGGGTGAATTCCATAATGACATCATGGTGATCACTTACAACAGCATTTGGGTTACTTAAAACTAAAAAAAAATAGTTAAACAATATCTTAAAAAAATAAAAACAGTTTTTTAACTATATGTTTTTAAAATGATTTAAGTTTTTTCTTATTTTAAGAAATGATTAAAAGATTTTATTGATTTAAGTAATATTTTAAGTTATTTATTACATAAATTATAATTTATCATGTGATGCAGAGAAAGCTTATAAATGAAATTCAGTTACAACAGCCATTTATATTTACAAAGTAAATTAAAAATTTACTTTGTAAATATAAATGGCTGTTGTAACTGAATTTAAAAGCAATTTTAGGTAGTAGGTAAAATGCAAACTGCAAACCGGTAAAATTCGAACTTTTTTGCAAACTATAGTTCTAATTGTTGTTAATGATGTAATATTTTTTATTTTTTGTTTGCCGTTAAATTGTTTATTTTGCTATACATTTATAGACTTCAAGCAGAAACATAAACTATATTTAATTTAAAAGAAATTCAATCTAATTTTAATAAAATATATCAAATTCCACTATACTTAAATTGAATTAAAAAATTGATAAGCAAACGTTTTTTTAAATATCATAAATGTAGAGATCATTAAACTATAATTTCTTAACTCGCAAAAAAGTTAGCATTTTACCAGTTTGCAGATTACATTTTACCAATTACTGCAATTTTTATAAAAATATGAATCATCAGTTATTTAAATTACTGAAAGACAGGTTATAAATAATTTTAAAGTGCTTTGCAACATCTCAAATTACCTCTGTTATCAGTAGTTATGATAATCTTATCACCAATAAGATGGGCTCCAGTTGCAGCCTTAAAAAAAAAAACCTCATTGAAACTGTTGTGTCATAAACAATACATAAAATTTTATTGAAAAATATTACTGGACATTCCCTTTATTTTAAAATTGATTTTAGTTATATCATGTTAGTATTTTAAGGATTAAATTTTGAACTTAAAGTTTTGATTTAAAAGAAATAAAGATAAAATATTTCAAAAAATAAAACCTTGAGATTATTGTTGTTCAAATGGATGCATTAAAATCCATAAAACTACCTTATTTTGTTGATCCCTTTCAACAACAACAGACTTATTTCTTGAAAAATCATTTTCATTAACTAATCCAATACTTGTTTCTAGTGCAGTCTGGTTGATGTTTTGGTAAAAGTGTTCTCGCCAATAACCATCAATAAGGTGAGGTAGATGATGAATGCTCTCTTCTGCCTCCCACGTATATTTCACCCATTTAACTTTATAGTATAATAGCCCATCCTGAAAAAAAAATTTATTTTATCAATTTTGTAGTACACATAATCAAAATCTTCCACACAAACATTAATTGGGAGTTTGGGTTTGAGTTTAGTTAGGGTTGCAGGGTATAGCAGGTGCAATCTAAGTAATCTAATACATCTATTATAGTAAATTTTTCGTTTTTTATATAACTAGTTTATTTCTTCTTTAGTCATTACATTCTGACATTTAAAAAAACAGATAAACTTGACATTTTTTAAATAATAAAGATTATTAGATTAAAATCTAATTAAAATTAAATTAAAACTAAATTTTAATTAAAATAAAAAAAAATTCTATTTTTGTGGGTTATATTTACAGCAGGAAAATTTTTCTACTTTATAAATGTTTAATTTTTTTAATATGGCCATCTTATAAAGTTTTAATTTATAAATTGCTTCTCTTCTTTATTTGATTATCAAACTAAAAAGACTATATCAGAGTTTCATATACTGCAGTTGTTTTTCAAAGCACCTTAATAGTTGAGCATGTTTTCAGTGTAATGCATTTTTCTCCCAAAAGATTACAAAAAGATATATATCTTTTAAAGAATAATGATAATTTCATCTTTCCTCTCAAAGAATATAAATGAATAGTTCATTAAAAAACAATCTTTACACCAAAAATTGCGTTTTCTTCAACACACCCAATCATTTTATCTTAGGTAACTAGTTTCCTAAGATGAGCTTATAATGGAACTCAAAAAAACTCAAAATAACAAAAAAATAATCACATAAAAAAAAAGTGAAATAAAATTGTATCTTCAAGGATAATATCTCAACCATAAAAAAAAAAACAATAATAAATCTCTAAAAGAGTTAATGATACTATTTTTTGAAAAAACTTTTGCTCTTGAAATACCAAAATAAAGCACCGCAGAGAATAACTTTAAAAAAATGCCCTTTTCTTAATAAAAAGCCGCATCTTATCTTGAGCATCTAAAAATGTATTATCTTAAGCAACTTCATCAAGTACTATCATAACTTAAATAATATGACAGCAGCTTATGTATTATCTTATGTAACCCATGGAATTAGCAGTAGATAAGCTTAAAATATTTAGGATGTAATAAATTTTAAATGACCTTGTTTCATTCTGACGTAATTACAAAATATTGAATAATAAAAAACTATAACGGGGATGTTAAATTTTTTTAACAGTAAAACAACCAAAGAATATTACTATACAAGCAAGAAATTAAAATAAGACCGTCGAACTTGTATGAATATCCTTAACCAAAAAAGTTCGTGAAAAAAATCAAGTCTACCCGTAAAAGAGGTTATATTATCTTAGGAACCTGCTTTTCTTATACAACCTTTCCCTATGCCCATTATGTATTTCAAGAAAAACGCAAAAATTATTAGGAGAAACTCTTTGTAAAACATTTTTTGAAACGAATAATTTTTAAAACTCTTTGAAAATACATATTCAATAACATTTGTAGACATCTAAACTAGTTTATTTTGTAAAAAAAAGTCAAGATTGATTTTTTTTACCTGCAGTATAGCAGAGAGAGACCGGTATAGCTTTTTAGAGCTTTAACAGAGAGAGGCCAGTATAGCAGAGAGACCAGAGCAGAAACAAGATCAAAAGACAATAGTTTGCAGTTTTAAGAATGAGTTATTAAATTTACTCATTGAAACTTTGATCTATTTTCATCGCCTTCATTGCTTTTAAATACAGTTTTAAAAGGTTTAAACAATTAGTTCTGAAGAAACTTAAATATATTTAAATACTTTAATATTTTAAATGTCTATTTAGTTAAAAATTTTAATTAGTATTTAAAAAATTTTAAACTTTTTAACAATATTCTTATTATTGTTCATCATATTTTATATTATAATTTTCATCACAAGATAAATTTAATAGTTAAAAAACTTATTTAGATTGATAGCTTTTAAATGAAAGTTAAATGAAAGTTTTTCAAAATCTTAATAAGTTTTAGTTGAAAAGCTTGATTGGCTCGTCTATTTCCATCAAATATAATGTTTGTTAAGAGATATTTTGTTGCAATATTCTACTTTAATTTAAATAATTAACAAAGACATTTAAAGGGAAGAGCGAGATTCTTTTACCGTATGAGGACAGCAACTAAATTTAATTGGCATATTTAAATATCTAGTAAATTAGGTATTTAAATAAAAAATGTATTTAAATACAAAATTATTTTATTTTATTTTTTTTAATCTACTAATATACATTAAATATCTACGTAAATTTTGTATTTGTAAATTTGAAAAAAAAAAAAAAAAAAATTAATTTATAAATATTGGTCAATAATTAATTTAAAATTTAAATTTTAAACTAATATTACAATATTATATAATTATCTTCTTTTATGTTTTACACAAGTATAACATAGATAACACGTTTCATTGCAAGTTTTATTTTTTAATTTTTATTTTTTTGGTATACTTTACCAGCTAATTTATTTTACCAAAAATATTATTAAGTCTTTTATTCTAAAAGCGTAATTAACTTATTTTAAAGTATAACATTTATTAATATAAGTATAATACTTAATAATATTATAATAGGTTCTTTGTAACTTTACTAACTTAAGATAACAGGAAAAATTGTAAATAACGAGTCTGAGTAATAAAAATAAAACATATTGAAAAATCTTAACTAGAGAATAACTGACGTCAATAAAAAATTTAAAAAAAAGTTTTTTTCAACTTTTGAATGAATGTAATGATGGTGGGGATGAACCTTGTTAATGATGCTTGTTAACAAGGACATATTTTTACACATTAAAAAAAATCGATCAATTAACTTATTTTCTCACCGTGCATACTAATTGCATTTTTTACTTGTCTAGCGCGACACTTTAAATCTGAGACTGATTTTATTTCATTTTTTTTTACTATGATCTACAAATTTTATATATACACACACACACATTTACATATAAACACAAATATCTTTCTATGCTTAGCCTTGCATAAATATATTAAAGATGTCATACTGAAACAATATGCTGAAGGGACTTCAGTATGTTCATTGATTAAGGGTTTGGGAAAGTATCATCTAGATAAAAAGAAATATTATGGCAAAAAAAAAATAACCTTCAATTAGTATTTGATCTAAATGAAAGATTAAATATTTTCAACTTTTATGAAATGTTAACATGAGATATAAAAAAGCAAAATATTATAGCAATAAAAATTTGTACACATTTTGTTTCTAGAGTTAAGATATATTAAAATGAGAATAAAGTTTAATCTTAGGTTAAGATCCAAAATAATAATAGAGGTTGTCAAGGCTACAAATCACATTTCTTTCTGGACAAGATTCATGGCAAAGCAAATATAATTAACAAATGTTTAAACATGACAAAATACTAGTATATAAACTTTAGATTTTATGCCAGTGCAAGTGGGTGACTGATGCTATCAAAGGATCCAAGAGAACATTGTTTTACCATTCACCCACACGTGTCTTGTGCTGTAATTATTTGCTATGTGATATTATCATGAAATGGAATAACAAGCAAAATGGGACTCAAATTCACAGTACAAAAGATTCCAACCTTGCTTATAACAACTAGATTTCAATATAAATTCTTTGATAGCAAGTTAACAGAAAATTTTGAGAGACTTGTGGTAACAGATGATCGCTGTTTGAGGTTTGACATGATTGTCCTTCATTGTTATTGTGAATAATTAGACCAACAAAAAAACAAATTCAGTCTACAGACACAACAGGTTAATTATCATCAAGGTCATATTTTAAAAATCTAGGTAGGAAATTGTTGTTATACCTCATATTAAATGCTATGTGTTTCTCCTAATGATGGCACACAAAGTAATTTTAGTTTATTTGAAAGGCTAGATCAAGACTGATTTTTCTTTTTTATATATACAAATCTAGGAGCCTGAGAAAACAGTTTTTATTTCTTTCAAAAGAACATCATTTAAAATAAAAATATCTTTATTTAAACAACCATTAGTTTTATTAGTTATAACTACTTAAATTGCCTTAATATAAAAACCTGTTTCATATAAAAAATATTTATTAACAATGCTTAGAAGTCATTTGAAGATTAAAAGCAATATCAGTCAGGGGCTTTTTCTTGACTGTTTTCGCCAGTGTCGATCGTATTTGGGTGCCGCAAAAAACAAAATTTGAGGACATTTTTTTTCAATACATTTTTTACAGCAAATATTGTTTTTTTGCTGCACAAATTTTTTTCCTAGAATAGCCCCTGTCAGTAGTATTGGTGATAGATAATTAGTTACAAAATAAACGAATTACAATTGAAGTTCCCGGCAGGACGACGAGACAGTTTGTTACTTACTAAAGTGTGTTTATTAATAAAACCATATTTTGATCTATAAAGATTTTATTCCTTGCAACTATTTAAAAGGATGTATCATTTTTTAAACCCCTTATATTCACATTTTAAATCACGTGAATCATTTTGATAGCAGTTGAATCATCGATAACAATAAATGAACAGCAATTGAATCATTGATAACACTAAATCTCTTGTTTTTCATTAGTAAAATAAATTTTTAATTTAACTTTGTCAAACAAAATAAAAAATATTAAGATGCACATAAAAAATCATTATTAGTATGCAATTAATGATGCACAAGAAAATTCTTTTTTTCTAAGAAAAAACTAATCTTGTATAACGAAAAATGTTTAAAACATTAAAAACATGTTTTAAACATTCAACCAAATGAAATTTTTTTCAAAAATCACTAAAACTTTTAGATTAACTCTCTAGCAAAATAAATCATAAATTCTCATGTGCCTACTTCAATACTTGTCTATTAAAGGTTAAAAAAAAGCAATTGAAAAGTGAACTTTTTAACATGTGCACACGCTTCAATACAAGTGTCAATAAAGATGTTTTTGATTGGCAGGACAGTATTAATTGTTACATTAAAATATTCAAAAGTTTCTGGCCACTTTGCATTACAAGAAAAAATATTAGTCCAAATGTGTTCTATTATAAATTTACCAGGGTTGTGGAGTCGGAGTTGGAGTTGTGACATTTTTAGTGGAGTCAGAGTCGCTAAACAAAATCGCGACTCCGACTCCAATAGTAAAACTTCTCGGTATTGCACGTGCATGTACAAAACATTCAATTAATCTTATGTTCATACTAAACCTCAAAGAACGTTTCATAAATTTAAAAAAAAAAAAATTTTTTTAACTTATTGCGTAATATTTTTTGAAGATTTTAAAGAACTTTTCAAAAATTTTGCTTTGGAGTTGTAATCGCAATCGGAGTTGAACTCAAAAAAAATTTTAACAACAGGAGTCGGAGTCGTTACTTTTTTTTTACAACTCCACACCTCTGAAATTTACTGATTCAAACAATAAAAAAAAAAAAAAAATACAAGCAGGTCCAGTTAAACCTTATTTTTTCTTCAGAGATCTAAATGTGGTATTATTTGAAAATGAATGCTTTCCAACTTAATGTTCTAGTGTTTCCCATTTTAGTGTTTTCCCTAGTTTTCTATTGGGTTCAAGCCTGATGATTAAGATGGCTGGCTTTAAACTCTCATGCTCATAACTGCTTTTGGGGTGGGTTAACCATTTATTTAAAATTTTTATTTCTTTTCTCAAAAGCAGTTGATTGGTCTCAAATTAAAATATCATGATGGTCAAATGCCAAATATTTTTTTATGCTCACAAAGCTCAAGACCACAAGTTAGTGGTTGAACAGCAAAAAATTTTTATAACTTAACAATGGAGTTTGGGTTAGCAAAACGGATTTCTGATTGAATTAAAAATTGGGTTACTCCCTGGAAATTGGTTATTTTGCGATCAATGTTTAAGCAATTAAGTGAGGCAAAAGGTGAACTTTTTGTATCCCATGTAAAGCCTAGATGACATGTTTATCATGAAGTTTTATTTGTTGGTAGTTAAGTATTACTGTGCAGTTTTTAATTTGCTATTTTCTGGTGAGCAAGAACTTGGTTTTGTCAGCATGTTTTGTCAACATTATGCAGTTTTCTTTTGTGTATATATTACAGGTATTAATAAGCTTTTGTAGGCCTGAAAGGGGAGAGGTAAGAAGTATAATGCTATTATCAGCATATGCTACAACAACTGTATAGTTTTCATTTATTGATGTACCTACGATGCTTTCATTTTGTAAGAAATCTAGTAAGTTTTGAGTATAAATGATAGAAATAAAAAAATAAATAATAATAAAAAAGTATTAAAAAAATATACTAAAACTTAAATAAATTTTAAAAATTACATTATATAAAAAAATAAAATTAAAGTTTTATAAATTTAAATTATTTTAACACCTAAAATCTCTTTTGTCTTGATGAAATTCTTGACTATACACAAAACGCATAAAAAGTAATGCATATAATACTTTAGTTCTACAAATTTAACTATTTAATGTAAAAAAATTAAAATTAAAATATAAACTATTAATACTAACTATATATAAAAATATAATATTCCTACCCCTGCTTATATAATATATTTTAATATAAAACTTTATGTTGATTAAGAATCATATTTATGCTTATTAGGAGTCAAATAAAAAGATTGATTTAAAAATTTAATTTTAGTAATTTATTTTGAAACTCAAATTTAATATAATATCACTAAAAATACATTTTATTAATTAAAAATATATCATAAGAAACAAATCTTGCTTTTATTGTTATAACCTTTTTAAAGTCCTTGTTACTATTACATAGGTACTATTCATGTCACATGTGACTTGCAATTATAGCTTGTCAGTCCTGATCTGCAAAAATGGTGAAAACCAGAAAAATATTCAAATGGGATATTTAACTATCTAATATCATATATTATTAAGAAAATGGTACTATGGAAAACTATGTTAACGTGTGATTAGCACATTTGGATCTATTAGGTCCAAATCAATTGATGGATGTGAAATTTAAAAAAAACTTACTTGACATAATTAATAAAAACTTCTATAAAATGTGTAAACACATTTAACTCAAGAATAGATAAATCCTTATTTTAAAATAGTAAAGTAGGGTCATTTACAAATATTTTATGACTTACTGTGTAAAATTCTTTTTACTTATGTTTACTTAGTATGTAAAAAAAATATTTTTGAATTATTAACTTCAACAGATAAATAATTAAAAAATTTTTATGTAATATTTCTAAATATTGATGATTTAAAAAAAAAAAAAAAACATTTATATTTACAATCAAAATTATATTTAATATAAAGTATAGTTATGATAGTATGTCTAGTTATTTGCAACATCTTCACAACTTTCAGTTCTTTTAGTTATTGCTAACTATCAGATCTAACTCATTAGTTAACAGTTATTATTGTAGTTGTTAATTGAATATTTAGCATAAGAATAAATAAAGGCAATTTACAAACAAACATATATAATCAAGATATAACAAACCTGTTAAGTAGTCAAACAGTTATAATAATTTACATCTTAAAAGATTTTTTATTTTCCACAAGGTTAAAAGACAGTTTAAAAATTAATAACTAAAAACATTACATATTGGAGTATACTCCTTCATTCGAATATATTTTATTACTTTAGAGAAGACAATGCTCTCCTTTCCTCAGACATATAATTAATTAAAGCGTGGGGGAGTGAGCGTGTGGGAAGAAGAGCCTTTACCTTTTTTTCAGCAGCCACTATTTTTTCTATTTCAACACTTTCCCCTTCAGATATATCAAAAGTATGTTTCGGAGGAGGAGGTATTGGCTGAGACTGCCTTAAATTTTGGGCCATAAACTGGCTAATGCTCATTACATCATTTACAGCATTTTCAGGATGTAGATACGTTGGAGAACCTTTATGAAATATAAACTCCGCCGCCATCTTCAAATCTTACACGCTCCACTTAAAGAGTAAAAATTGTTGTGGGGGAGTGGGGAGTGGTTTGATAAATTAACGTTAATAATTAAACAGACAACTTGGTTTGCACGATTAACTTTTCCGTAAATATAGTGCCATGTAAAAAACCTCCGTTTGAGGTTTGGATAATGAAAAAACTAAGTTAAACGAAGTTCTTCACAACCAATTGTAATTCGCTATTTTGTCACATGCTTGTCATATCTACGGCATAAAAATTTTTATACATCCGTGGTTGTTTAGTTCTTAACACAAGTTATGATAAATTTAATTTTTGTTATTTTTTTCTTACATAAAAACTTTGCTGTTTTTAAGTCTACTTTTGTGCAACAGAGCACAGTGCAAAGTCGGACTGGCCAGGGAGATTAGGAGGATTTCACCCCTCCGGCCCCTGTTAAAAATTAAGAATCACAATTAAAACACACAAAAATACAAAATGATAATAACTGTTTATTGTTAATATGCATTAATTTTGAAAAAACAATACAATAAATATGGTAGTTAATTATACGATTAAAATAAGAAATGTTTAATTAGATATCACAGTTTTTATTTATGGCGCACATTGTATCTTATTTACATTCGCCCCCACCTCGAGTTTGCTGTTCAAGCCTGGTCGCCGTATTTAAAGTCCGACATTGCTATCCTCGAACAAGTCTAACATCGAGCAACAAAAACAATATCATCTATTAAACACATGTTCTATAAAAATTGACTCCAACAGCTCGGTCTAACAACACTTGAAGAACGCCGTAAAAAAGCAGACCTAAAAAAGCAGAACAATTTAAAATCACGCGTCAACTCAAACTTGTCAGTTTTTTCGTTCCGCAAAAACTTCCAAACAATAAAGCCAAGTATATTTTGAGAGGGTATAAACAAAAACTATAATAATAATAACAGCCATAATAATAATAATAATAATAATAATAATAATAATAATAATAATAATAATAATAATAATAATAATAATAATAATAACAATAATAATAATAACAACAATATTAGTATTAGTAATAATAAAAGTTAAAAGTAGTTATCAATAGTAAATATTAGTAAAAATAACAAAATAACAATAATCAATAAAAAATATAGAACAGAAACTGTAAAAAATATATATATATATATATATATATATATATATATATATATATATATATATTACGACAACAAAAATAGATTATAGAAATTATAAACATTAACTATAGTTTTTTAATAAAAAGTAGAATAAACTGGTTTTAAAGCTTGAGAATTAATTGAGAGCTTTTAGTTCATAAGGAAGGTTGTTCCAAGTTTTAGTGCTTTGATATTTTATGGATTTATGCCCGTAATTATGAGAGCGGTGTTTAGAGACAGACAGGTTTAAATTACTATCGGAACGAAGGTGATAACGATTGTTGGCACTCTTGGAAAAGAAATTAATGAAAGTTAAAGGTAGGTTATTGTGTTGGTGGTTCCAGACAAATTGACAGTTTAAAAGTTGAATATAGTCACATAGTTTTAATACTTTAGAAGTTAGGTAGAGCACATTAGAGTTAAATTTAATATTCTGAAAATGAATAACTTTTAAAGCCTTGTTTTGGAGGTGGGATAACCTAATAAGAGCTTGTTGATGGGACTGCCCCCATACTTGGCATGCATATCTAAGATGTGAGTCAAAAAGAACATGGTATATGTTCAAGAGTGTCTTAAAATTAACATAATGGCAAATTTTGGCCAACATACCATTAGATCTACTTAGTTTCATTGCTAAGTCTTTACAGTGGGATAAAAAGGAAAGATTTGAATCGATTTTTATACCAAGATATTTAATTGAGTTAACAAGTTCAATTTTTTTGCCATTTAATTTAAAGTTCATATGTTTATAGATTTTTGTTTTATTTGATTTAAAGATAATGAGTTCAGTTTTATTAGAGTTTAGAAAAAGTTTGTTGGAGCAAAGCCACTGAACTAGATTGGCTAGATCATGGTTAATGTGTAATTAAGCGATTTATAAATTAGTATTAGATTAGTATCATCAGCAAAGTGGTAAACAGTAGCAAACTTAATGGATGTATGAAAATCGTTAATATAAAGAAAAAGCAGTGGTCGTAATACTGAACCCTGAGGAACACCATAAGAACATTTTACAAGGGTAGATTTTGAGTCATTAATAGAAACAAATTGTGTTCTTTTGTTTAAATATGTAGTGAACCATTTAAGCGGTACGCTTCTGATCCCATAATATTCTAATTTTTTTAACAAAATTGAATGATCCACTGTGTCAAACGCTCTATGTAAATCGACAAATACACCACAAAGAACAAAGAACTTAAAAAATTAAATTTATGGTTGAAATTAAATAAGTTATCACTAAATACACAAAAAACAAAATACATATTGTTTCATTCCAAAAAACAAAAAAATAATATACCAACTACCCTTCCCTCACTAAAAATAGATAAGGTAAACATTGAAAGAACAGAAACAATTAAATTTCTTGGGATACAAATTGACGTAAATATATCTTAGAGAGCCCATTTAAGTACAATAAACATCAAAATTTCAAAAAATAGTGAGATACTCTACAAAGTTAAACCTATGTTATTCAAAAATAATCTTAAATCGCTTTATTTTTCTTAAATCCAAAGTTATCTTACGTACGCTAATATTACATGGGCAAATGCATACAAATCCAAATTGAGTACTATTTACATAAGTCAAAAACATGCATCAAGATTAGTTTATAATAAAGATAAACTCACCTACGCTGAACCCTTACTAAAAACCTTGAATGCACTAAATTTTTACCAAATCAACATCTTCCAAAATGTTCTATTTATGCTTAAATACAAACTTGGACTAGTCCCATTGCATTTTTTAGATAACTTATTTCAAGTAAACTCTAATAGATATATGACAAGAGCAACAGGCAACTTCACACTGCTCAAAATAACAACAAAGTTCTCACGGTTTTCTATTACATTTCGGGGTCCGTACCTAAATAACAAAATCATATCCAAAACTACAGAACTTAAAGTATGCTGTCAACTTGAATAATGAATTAAAATTTAATACCAACAGTTATATAAACTTAATACCAACAATTATATCAACATGTATTAAACTTAACATTAAAATTTATACTAAAATATTTATGCGTATCACTGACTGAATATTGTTTAACCACTTTTGACTATATATAAAAAGAAAATCGACTTCATTTAACCATTTAGGGAGGTACTCGATGATAAGTCTTTATAAACTTCTACGAGTTTTCCTATATAACAACATGTATATATCTGAAGTACCAAAAATTTATTGTCTTTTTTTTTCTTTTCTTATTTTTATTTTTTAATTTTTTTTAAATATTGGTAGTTTTTATGATAAGAAACACTATTAATTTACGCTATACTTAGTTATACTTGTTAAACCAATATTTATTGTGCTATGTTATACGTGGTATTATTATCTTATATTTTTACGTTGGATTATTTTATGTCATGTAGTTATAACGTAACGATATGTAAATTTATTAAAGTTGTAAACAAAAAAAAACAAAAAACAAAAACAAAAAATGGGTTAATCTAAAGCATTTCTCATTTTTTTTTTAAATTTTTTTTTATTATATAATGAAATTTAAATCTTTAATCTTTAATTTTGAGTTAATGTCACAAAAAAAAAGTCTGGAGCACAGAAGAAAGCTAAAAAAAGAAAACCTGTACTAGCCAATCCTGCAAAAGACCAAAAGCAGACAAAATTATCATTTGGTAATGGGAACATACAAATACTACGGAAGTCGATTGTTGCAGCTGATAGTGAACAGACAAATCTTCAAGAAATTACTTTTCCATATATAAATAAGGACTTTGGGTATGGAGAAGAATTGATCGCTCCACACGTTATTGTTCATGATAATGCGGATAGATAAGAACTGATTGTTCCTGAAGTTAGTGTTACTTTTTTGAGCATGATAACTGTTAACAGAACCATTATTTTAATTGAAGATCATATAAAAAAATCTATTATTAAAGAAGTTTAAGAGTCTGGAAAGTTTGGAACTCAAGTTTGACTTAAACCACTATGAAAGAATTTCAAGACCCAGTTAGGCGGTTTAAGGTTAATATATATTATGCTATTGTGGATACTGCCACTACAGCAATCAAAATCTGTTTCAAAGGAAATGATGTTGGTATCTTAAGGCTTATTGCTTGTCTGGACTTTCTAAACTTTCCATCATGGCGTGACCATATTGACTATGCTTTTCATTTTGCGTAACCATAGGAATATATTTTTCATGATTTAACCAATCTTGCTGGTATACAGAGGGAAACACTACACAGAGATAATATCATTTGCAACTAATTTTTCATTAGTTAGTTGGGCTGATAAAATTGAATCAATGAACTCCAATGAACTATATAATTGAAAAATTTGACAGCAAATTTGTATTTTTCCTAATATTTATAAAGATATTAGGAAAAACCCATTTTAACTTAGCAATAATGTCCAAAAATTTAAGTGGCGCAATGCTTCAATTAATGTTTTTTAAAACCTTGCATAAGGATTTATTTTTTTAAACGTGCCGAATAAATTGATCGATGCATGGTCAAAGATATAGAAGTTTGCATAAACATTATTAAAAAATTTTTATACACTTATAACAAAAAACACTATGTGATTAAGAGTTTATTTTTGCTAAACTTTTTGGTACCATAAGAATTATCTATGTCTGCCTCCCCTGGGCTTCTTAGTGCTAATCCAACACTGGCTCAGTGTGTCAGAACGGTAAAAAAAAATAGCAAAGGTTACATAATCATCAGATAAAAACATGCAACATGCAATACATTAGAGACGGATCAAGAGAGAATGGGGGATAGAGGGTATGTATCTCCCTCCCCCCTCCCAACAAAGTTAAAACAAAATTTAATTTAAATTTTTTTTTAGCTTAGGTATCATTATTCTCTACCCTCTCCCCCTCCTTCCTTCCTTTCAATAAACTTCTAGATCCGCCACTGCAGTACATCAATGTATGTC